ATCAGATTTTAACATGTTAAAAATATAGAATGATTGTTTCTTTTATTAAGAACCTGCCCATATTTTTAACATGTTAAAGAAAAACAAGGATGTGTTATTTTATTTAGATGGATTGTAAAAACTAGGTGAGATTATAATATTTAGTTAGATTGTAAAACTAGGTGAAGTTATTATATATAGATAAAATGTAAAACTAGTTGAGACCGTTATATTTAGATGGATTGTAAAACTAGGTGAAGTTTATTATATATAGATAAAATGTAAAACTAGTTGAGACCGTTATATTTAGATGAATTGTAAAACTAGGTGAAGTTATATATAAATAAAATGTAAAACTAGGTGAAGTTATTATATATAGATAAAATGTAAAACTAATTGAAGTTATTATATATAGATAAAATGTAAAACTAGTTGAAGTTATTATATATAGATAAAATGTAAAACTAATTGAAGTTATTATATATAGATAAAATGTAAAACTAGTTGAGACCGTTATATTTAGTTAGATTGTAAAACTAGGTGAGATTGTTATTATATTTAGATAAAATGTAAATAAAGTTGTCATTACAGTAAATATAGCTTGAATTGTTATTATATTTAGATGAGCATAAAACTAATCCAAGTTATTGTTATATTGAGGTAAGAACAAAACTAGCTCAAGTTGTTATTTATTTAAAGTCAACCATGCTCAAATTATTAATATATTTGGATTAATGTAATACTAGTTTGAATTTTTAGATTTAGATTAAAGTAAACTTATCTCAAATTATTATATTTAGAGCAAACCTAGTTTGAATTATTATTATAATATTTATATTAAACATAACTTTAATTGTTATTAAATTTGGGTTCAAGTACACATAGCTGGAATTACTATATTTAGATGAAAGTAAGTCCAGTTTGAATTTTTATTATATTTTGATTAAAATAAAATTGGCCTGAGTTATTACATTTATATGAAAGTAAATCTATCTTGGATTGCTATATTTAAATTAAAATAAACCAATCTTAAATTTTTAATACATTCAAATGAAAGTAAAAATGGCTCAAGTTATTATTATTTGATACAAGACCAAATACAAACAGTACATTTATATTCAAATAAAACTATATTGAATTATTGTATTTAGATTAAAGTAATTATAGTTGGAATTGTTACTATACATTTATTCAGAAAGCCTTGAGTTATTTTGCTGAAATGAGAGATGGAGAGAGGCATAAAAAATGTGATATAAAGATTAATCAATCAATTAGGGGTCTCAAAAACAGACAGAAGTTTAAACTATCACACCTACAGCATGCAAACATAATGTACATTCTTCATGCACCAAATATAGTGTAGAATTTACGTAACCAATGTGTTTGATTAGTGATAACCATTTCATACAAGTGTACTGGTAAAATCACAGAAAAAAAAGTTTATTACATCATTAAATCAGTTATATCAATGTTATTCTGCACTTGTCTTTAATTAATGAACTTACAACAAATAACTAAAACTTGTTAATGTGGAAATACAAATTTAACTTGTTGATTATTAATCTGTCAATCACTTGGTTGTCATGTATGTAATGCAAGTTCTCACTCAGTATAACAGTGCTGTGCATAATGTTCTCAGAATGTAACAGTGCTGTGCATGATGTTCTCAGAATGTAACAGTGCTGTGCATGATGTTCTCAGAATGTAACAGTGCTGTGCATGATGTTCTCAGAATGTAACAGTGCTGTGCATGATGTTCTCAGAATGTAACAGTGCTGTGCATGATGTTCTCAGAATGCAACAGTGCTGTGCATGATGTTCCGAGAATGCAACAGTGCTGTGTATGATGTTTCCAGAACATTATACACAGCACTGTTCTCAGAACATTATACACAGCACTGTTCTCAGAACATTATACACAGCACTGTTCTCAGAACATTATACACAGCACTGTTCTCAGAACATTATACACAGCACTGTTCTCAGAACATTATACACAGCACTGTTACATTATCAGCTGTGAAGCATGATATTGTGGTTCCTACGTCAATTACAGACAGAAGTTTCTCCATCAATGGAATAAATTATTGTATAAACTTCAATACTGAGACCATAATTTAGTATTCCAGCAACTTAGTATTGAAGGTTCAGTAGTTAAGTTTCATAACACTGAAAATTTAACACCTAAGAAATAATAAAACTTTTCATAAATGTCTACAGAAAAATTTAACAAGTATTTAGCTAAGACACATAAACGAGTGAATAAACGAATCCTAAAACTGATATCAATGTCCTTAGTTCATTTAGTGTTATTCAAATAATAAATTTCATTAATAATTTCTATAAAGCTACACAATAATGTATTCAAAACAACAAATGTAAAACAGCACGGTTTCAGCTACTACCTTTTTAGTTACTAAGTATAGGATGTTAACACATATGGACAGTTGTACTATTTCTGTCTCAACATCTGTTCTAATGTAGTTCTTTTATTACACACCCACACCTGCATTAATACGTGTCAAACTTTCCATCTGTGAGTTTATCCTTAGATTTACAGAATTGTGAGTAAAATCAATCCATAAATACTCAAAATAAGTCAGCTTCTGTGGTATATCAGAATGTACTGTTTCATGATCACAGAACTTTCAAATAATCCACTCTTAACTATAACAAGATCAATAACTATATTAAAAAGTTATACGACTCGTGTTAACCATTTTTAGGATATATTTCAAGAATCAAATTTATAATCTCCCAAATTCTCAGATATGTTACATTAAAATATCAGAATGAAGACTTAAAACACTAAAAACCATGTTTCAATACTCACGGTGGACACAACACATTTTGTAGTTTTGCACGTAACAACAAAACAAACAAAAAAGTATGATGATTTACTTCAGTTTTTATCATTTTATTTTCCATGTGTAACAAGATTAATTCGTCATTAATGTTTCCAACAAAGAAGGCCTGGAAAACATCAGGTTGTACAACCTTTATTAAACATTTTGTCCTGGAAGAAATATTTCTGGATGAAATCATGTAATCATATTTGCTTTGTTGTATCTTTTCCAGCATAGATTAATGTTCATTATTGGTCTTGAAACTGGGTATTTTTTACACTTGAAAGTTCCTACCTTTTAACAATAAATGGTTCACATATAAAATAACTGTTAGGACAAAATTAAAACAAACTTTATACAATTTGTCTGGCTAGAATTTGTTAAATGTATGATACACTAGTAAAACCCGAATACTTACTGATCAGTTCTAATCAAATATTTTACTGAGCATATACACAAAATATTCAATACACCGCTATTTAGCACTAAAAGATACAAGCACATTTTTCATCTACAGATCAAACAAAATAGAATGAAAACTATCAAACCATACAGCCTTACATCACCACATTTTGCTGCATTATTGACTTTAAAAAGCTTGGAAATTACAATACACTATTCTTTGGTTATAAATAACACATACACTCAATATCTCAAGATTATGAATGACATAGAACTTTGGTTGCTAAGCAACCAGACAGAATGACATCAGCCCACACCCACTTCAAATACATTAGAATATGTCTAGTAGAAACGATAACACTTTTAAATGACGTACAATAAGAGCACAAAGTAGCAATAATACATTAACTCTCACCAACAGTGTATTCCTGGAATAATTTCAATTAAAAAAATACAAAAAGTTTCATGCTTATCAGTTTCCTTTAATATTACTATAAACTCTTCTCTAGAAAACAGTTTAAAGTTTCCTACTTTTCTCAACTTATCTTTTTCAACAAAGAAATGTTTTTCAAGTTCCTTAGGTAACACTTAAATGTTTGCATCTGCTTTAAAAACTTTTCAATATAATAAACAGAATTTTGATAGGTAAAAGAAAATTTCTTGCCTAAGGAAACTAGCACTTGTTATCTGTATTGATA